TTTCTATAAACTGTCAAATCTGCTGGTGGGAGTATAAATTTAAATGGACCATCTGGTGGTAATGGTTCGTTCTGGTTTAGTAACCGAAGAAATTGCGCCCAAGAACGTTTGTCCACCCCCCAATATAAAAACTCTGTATCTCTTGGAGGGTTAATTTCAATCTTTTGAAATGAAACTGTGGAGTTCATCTTGTCATATTCTAGTTTCAGATAGTATGTTCCATTTAGTAAAGAGTCGTATTTTTCTTGAAATTCCCAGTAGTATTTGTTTATTTGAGTTTGAAAGTCATTTAGAGTTTTTTCAAGACTTTCGTCTGAACGAATTGTAAAGATTTTCATTTCGTCAAATTTTTCTATTAGACCATCAGAACCTTTATACTGACCGTGAAAATATACTGCGAACATGAATGCATTAGTTCTATTTGAAAACAAAACTCTTCTAAATCCTATTGCCTTTGCATCTGAAGGACTTTGAAGCCAACGAATTGGATAGTCAAACCTGTATGTACGGGATGAAATTTCTTCATCTGAAATATTTCTACCAGCGTTTGTAAAGATATAGTCTAACGGTTTTGTATCTGCTACTTTTGTTCTTTGTTTTTCAACCTGAAGCATTTAATATATGTAAAAATATACTGTTTTAAAAACGTTTTAAAATGGTATGCAATTTTTTATTTCATGCAATGTTTTATTTCTGTGCCGTCTTCAAGTATACCCCAGTACTTTCGCTTGGAGAGGACATGAACTTCGGAAAATACCTTGTCTAGCTTAAAAAAGCCCATCTTTTCACCGACCATTCCCATTTCAATGAGTTTGTTGTATCCTTCTTCGTTCGTCATAAGTGCGTCAATGTTCTCATAGTATACCTTCACTTTGGATTTGACCTCGGAGAAAAATTTGTTGTAGTTGTCAAGGACTGCCTTTGCGAACTGAGGGTATGACCAATGTTCGACAATAGGTTTTACTGTGGTTACTAAGCCATTTTGACCTTCGGTGAACTCGTATTTCAAAACAAAAGGAGAAAACCTTTCAACAAAGTTGTCGACCTTCTCATAGTGTTTACTCTTCATCTTTTGAGGTTTTTTAATGGAATACCCCCATGTCGAATTCATAAGCAATTTGAGTGTCATTGCAAGTTTGGGGTTTGAAGCTTTCCTAATATCATACAGTTGTTGTATGACTTTTCCAACTGTATAGTTCCTTCCCGGGAACTCACCATTTTCGTTTGGAATTCCAGTCGGAATATATTGGACAAATCTCATGTACGCAGCGTTAAGGTCGACATAGTATATTTTTTCATCTGAGTCGAACTTGTCGCATCCAATCGGACCAGTTCGTGGAAATTCAAGTGAGTCTCTTATCTTTTGAGAAACCTCGCCTGTTATCTCATAAACATCGTCGAAGCAACCTGTTTCATATAAAACCTTCTGACCTAACTCAGATGCTCTCCAATACAATTTGACGTCAATTGGATGTCTCAATGGAAGTTTGTTTATAGCATCTTGAAGTTCTTGCAACCTCATTGGAAGTTCTTCTGGTTCAGGTTGGTATCCGAACAATCCAACTCCTTTTGGAACTGTGTACTTCTTTTGTGCTATAACTTTGTCTGGAACAACTTTTGGTCTTACCAACAATGAAAAGTTTGTTTCGTCTTTTGGTACAAAAGTTTCTGTCAGCTTGTCATCTGGAATTGGTTCCAACAAGCCTTTCTCGAAAAGAATGTTAACAGCTTTGACAATGTTGCACTTGCCTTTTCCGAACAATGGGTTTGTAAGACTTTCGTTTAACATGAAGTGGTTGTGGATGAGTACAATCTTCAACCATGGTAAGTCTTTGTCAACAACATAGTCGTCATGTGAAGAACCTTTCTCAGTCGGAATGTTGACTCGGATATTGACATTTGCCAACGGTGCAATTTTTGTCAATTGACCTCTGAGAATGTACCTTGTCTTCACACATGACTCAAGATACTTCATTTTCTCATCTGTAACAAGACCAGAGTTCCTGAGACATGTAAGAATACAAGGTTCATTGACAATTGTTTCAATTGAATTGTAAATTCCATACCTGGTTAAGTCAATGTCAGACTTATTTCTGAACGGGAAATACCCAGCATGTTGTCTGACTGCTTGAGGGTTAGGTTGGTACCATTCGAACTTGACACTTGCAATTCCTTCAATTGCATTCAAAATGTCTGAGTCGGAGTCAACCATTTGTTCTCTCTTTGTAGTCTTGAAAGCGTCAAGAAGTTGTGCGGCTGTTGTGACATTGCCATGTGCATAGTAAATATGACCATCCAAATCTGTTACGGTTAGTCTGAGATTGTATCCTTTCTTATTTCCGTCTTGAATTGCAGCAAGTACACCCATGAAGCCTTCTTTGTTCTTTCCTTCGTCAAAGTTTACTGTAAAGGTTCGACCAGATGTAATTTTACTTCTAACCTCACGATACTTTTCATATGCATATCTTGTTCTTTCCATCGGAGCATGTGCATCTTCACCTTTTCCTTTTTTCCTTCTCAAAGGGCGCAATTGTTCGTCATGTTTCCAGTAGAATCTGGCAAAGCCGTCGTGTCCTTCAACTTGAGGTTCAGTAACATCGAAAGGCATGTCCATAAGACGTTCTTCTTCTAACCTCTCTAATCTGTTTGGATAATTTGCGCGTGCTGTTTCTAAGTCCATTTCATAGCGAAGACCAGACAGTTTGTCATAGACTTTTATGGGTCTTCCCTTCCTATATTTAAACTTCTTCGAAACTCTCCAACCATATCTTTCTAACTCTGCTTTTATTCTAGCAGACCTTCTGTCCATTCTATACGGGGGCATTTTTATAAAAATAAAAAAATGTTTTTCCTTTTACTTTACATAACCACCCGCTGCCATAAGTCTTTGACGCCAACCCATACCAGCTAATGAAGGTTGACTTGGTTTAGTCTCCAAACTAACCTTTGGTTTTGGTTTATCTTCAGTTTTTGGCTTCCCTTCTTCTATTGGTTTTTCGTCACTTTTCGGTTCCTCTGACTTTACCTCACTTGCAGGAACAGTTGTGTCGTCAACATCTTCATAAATGTCATATGCCATTTGTTTTTGTTTTCCTTTCAACTTTTTGTGTTTGTTGTAAAGTTTAGAATATTTCGACTCTAAGTCAATGAGATGTTCTATAATGAACTGTTGGTCAGTGAAGTAAACTTTTCCATCTGTTGTCTCATAAACTCCTTCAGACTTCAATATTTTATTTGTGAGAGTCTGTTTCTTTTTTGAGATACTTGCCGTTCCATTTTTATGAAAAGTGACTTTGTAGTTAGAGTTTGTATTTCCAGACCTGGCACTTTCTATTATTGAATTTTTCTCTTCATCTGTAAGTTCTTTGACAGGTTTTGACAATGGTTCTGAACTTTTTGTTTGTGGTGTCAAATCTACCGTTTCAACTTCTTCGGTCATTTCATCTCAGTAAAAAATTTTAGTTTGGTTTGTTTTCAACTGGTTGTTGAGGTTTTTTAAGTCGGTCTAAAACTTCCTGAGGTATAGGAAGAACTTGACAAACACGTGGTGGTGTAACTGCTGGAAGCCGACAAATCCATCTTGAACCCATTTGTCTCAATGCTGTATTGTTCATTTCATCTCAGTAAAAAACTTTACATTCCCCACGTTTGAGGCGTTGAGGTTGGTTGTTGTTTACCCACTGTTGTGCATGGTTATATCCTCTGTTAAAGAATCTTTCACCTTGGTCCATATAGTGCCCTGCTTGGTTATAGTAGTCATTTGCTTTGTTATAGTAGTTTCCTGCTTGTCTTCCTACATTGTCCATCCATCCTTGAACTTTTCCTCTTGTTTCAGGATTTGGAATAAGATTTGCTGCATCTCGTGCTACCTCCCAACCTTTCTGTACAGTTTGTATAATAGGTTGTGCTTTCTCTTTCAGTATACCTAATGTACTCAAAATCTTCCTTCCAATTCCAAATGCACCTCTGGCTAGTGTTCCCACTGCGGGCAAAAATCTGGATGCGACTCCTGCTAATGCGCCAAATAAACCCATTTCTTATGGGTTAAAAATGACGAATTCAAACAAGGACCCGTATGTTTCTAAGGCAACAAAGAAAGCACTCATGGTAAAAATCTTTAGTTCAACACAAATGCTTGGTTTATGGATATCTTGGAAAACATTCCGAGGTATAGAGAAGATGGACCACCATACTGGCTAATATTTGTCGGTCAAAACACAAGATACTGTGAAGCCATACCATTACAGTCCAAAAATATTTTAGATGTGAAAACTGCTTTGACAATATTCGTTGACAAATACCATCCAACAAAACTGACATCTGACTGTGAAAGTTCTTTCAAATCAGACGATATTAAAAACTATCTGCGTTCAAAAATGTAAACCAATATTTCATTGTCGACCAAAACCATTCTGCTCTTGGTGTCATTGACAGTTTAAAAATCTTAAGAGACTTAAATCAACCACAAGGTGGTGAAGCAAATGAAATGTCATATGACGACAAATATAGACACTTCTCCATGGCAAAGATGAGACAAGTTTTAAATATTTACAATAGCCGTAAACAAAAAGGTTTGGGAAACCACTCCCCTGAAGAAATGAAAAACAACCCGACTTAGAGAAAGACTATATATTTAATAGTTTAGTCAAAAGAGACAAACAAGAAAGAATGCCAGGCTTCAAACTTCAGAAAGGTGACAAAGTAAAAATAGAAATACCTAAACGCGACCCATATGAAAATACTATTGACTATGACAACAACAAGTACCCGACAGGTACTCACATTCGTGTTCGTAAAAATAGAAGAAAGTATACAAGAGAATATTATGAAGTTTTAGGCAAACATGGCAAAATGTACACACTGCAAGCAGAAGATAAAACTACTATTGTCAGACCTCGTTTCAAACTTGTCAAAGTTCAAGGTGGTATACTTTCAAAGACAGTTCCTAACAAATATAAGACAACTCCTGACGAATATGCTAAAGAAGTGGAACATGACGACTAAGCAATTCTATACCATGCGTAAACTGTCATGTAAGGTGGCATGTAGTCTTTACTTTGTCCCGTTGTTTGTGTATATCCTGAAACGCGATGTATATGGTTTCCTCCTCCCTCAGTGTTACTCCAGTAACAATCTATAGCAAACTTAACGTTGTTTTTAACATCATATCCTTTACCTTTTGTCATTGATGACCAATCCCAATATCTATGACTATGCCAACCTGCGTTAGTTGTACTTAAATCTATGTAGTGACTGTGCGCAGGTAAATTTGCACCTGAAATCGTTTTACTTCCACCTGTTTCCTTTGAAGAGTTTGTACAATACAAAAACCTGTCGACTATTTGAGTCCAAGTTCCAAAACCAAGTACTACTTCTGGTTTGGTAGAGTTCATTGACGTGTAAATAGAACCTATAGGATATACTGTTTGAAGTATTTCTGTCTTTAACGTTTGAAGCTCTGTTTTGTCAGCTTTTTTATCATATAAATCTTGAGCAGTGAATTTAACTTTTTTTTCATCCTCCATGACATAGACATTTCTACATCTAATGTCTTTATCCGATGTTAAACCTTCTGGAAAGTTAGGAGGTTTAAAATATAATCCATCCCCACCAGTTTCTTCAATCGTTCCTAAAATACTTTCTATACCAACAGTTGAGAAGAAGGTATGTGTATGTCCAACGTCACTTTTCCTGTTTAAGGTTTCTTGTAAGTTTGTAATATTTGCAATGGTATGTGTATGTCCAACGTCACTTTTCCTGTTTAAGGTTTCTTGTAAGTTTGTAATATTTGCAATGGTATGTGTATGGTTCTTATCCGCTTTAAGGTCTAAACATCCTGAAACCCACCCTGTATCGGCTTTAGTTTTTAAAATCTTTGTTGTCCGTTCATGGTACCATTCAACCCTTTCTATAATTTCATTGTCTTTTTCATCCACATATTCCTTATCTGCCTTCTTCACTAACGCACTAGCCACACATGCTAACTCATCGTTAACATATGTTTTATCTGCTTTCTTTTCAACATCCTCTTTCGTTGCATATGTTGCATCTGCTCTGTCATGTTCTTCTTGAACTTTTTCAATGACATACTCTTTGTCAGCTTTCTTTTCAACATCTGCTTTCAAAAGAAGTTCATCTATAGGTTTCTCGTTTAAAGTTCCTTTTGTTGGATTTATACAAACAGTATGGTTCTTACTGTCTTGAAACAGAAACTCGTCTGTCAATGGGTTTAATGTCAGTTTTAAGTTTCCTTCTTTCAATGACTCAGATATCTTAGAATAGTTTGAAAAGTTTGTTGTGTTCTTATTTAGAGCTTGTATAATGAGTTGTCGGTTGTGTTGTATTTCTCTCATAGACGCTGTTTCATTCGACATTTTTATTCTAGATAAAATATGCTTTCAATAGAAAAAGAAAATTCAAGAGTTGCTACAACTAAACCATTAGATGAACTTTTTACGAATGTCGGTCAAAAGTTTGAGACAGAGACCGTAAAGCATGAAGGCTATCGTTTTGACTACCCGTTAAGATGGTTAAGAGACCCATCCGTCACAAAAGCTATTGGCTTTCGTAGAATGAAGTTCATTTCAGAAGCCATACATGGTTTCCCATTTACGGTCGGTTTTGAAGTTCGATACTATAACAAAGAAAAACGTACGTATGAGAAATTTGAACAGGGAAAACTTTTACAAGTGAATTTGCTTGTAAACTTAGAAACAACTCTTCAAGCTTTTCAAGAAAAAATAAACGATATCTATCTCGAATATGCAAACCAGTTTAACATTGACGAAGGAGAGTACCATCTCGATATTATATATGACAGGAAAAATGCAACTGTTAAATTCAATAGAATAGAAGACCTTGGAGAAGACGTTTATATTTCTACAAAATATAACAACTTGGCATGGTATAGATTTTTGAGGATGTTAAATCAGCCTGCAGAATATCCAGTACACCCGAACTTTTATGAAGTCGAAAACCCTAATGGAACATATGAAAATGTTTTCGACTCAGATGCTATTATAGTTCATGCTTCATTTTCTGGTGCACAAAACTCTTTTTTATGCTTGGCAAATGACTTTTACGAAAAACCTACAAAGCTATATGAACCACCAAGTGGAAGTATTTCAGACTTTCAAGTATGGTTTACAACAGATGGAAGAAAGAGAATAGTTCCATTATACCATGCGTTTTACTTAGAACTTAGTTCATATACAACTACTATCGAACGGTAAAAATATGATTTTTAATACGGTTGAGGTGTTGGATTTGGTTGCCAACTAGACTGTGGTGCAGGTTCAGGCTGTTGTATAACAGGAGCTTGTTCTTCTGGTTCAGGGTCTTTAGGTATAATACCAACGAACTGACCTACTCTTTTGCCAATATTTTTGACTCCGTTCCATACTCCTCTTCCGACAGATTTTATTCCATTCCATATACCTCTTCCAACATTTCGAAAGAAGTTTCCAATACTACTGAAGAAACCCATTTTACTATATGTAAAAATCTAATGTCCGCCTAGTCTCTTACGTTTCCTTCTGAGTTCCATAGCATTTTTTAACTGGAGCTCATACATTCTATTTCTCCTCTGGTAGAAAACATACTCTGGGTCAACTCCTGTGTTCGCGTCATCTGCATAGAGTTGTTTATATCCCACTTCAGGGTTTGTATAAAACTCTTTCCATCTCATATTTGCATACCATGGTGGTAAGCCTAACGCAGCGTCATTTGACATGGCAGTTTGCATTTGTACATCTGTTGGCACTTGACCATAGTTTGCCATTGCAGTTTGTATTCTAACTTCATTTGGAATATTCTCTGGGTTTGGTTGTCCAGGTTGCTGTGCATTCGCTAAGTTCTGTGCGTCCATTTAATATTAGATAAAAATATCTCTTACGAGTACATATACTGAACATTTGCTGGCATTGGTTCGCTTCATATTCTCTATATCTTTCTGCCACGTCAAATAAGTAAATGACACAATGGAAAAAACCTAAAACAAGTAGTCCTATTTCAAACCACATTTACTTACCAATAAAATTTCTTTGTTGTGACACTTTTTCCGGTTTATAGGACCTCTCTCATATTCTATCTTATCGTATCTAAAATCATACTCATGTATATCCTCTAACCATCTCATAACGGTTTCCAAACCACTTTTATCGGATGTAAAGTAAAAGCATGGATGGTTATGTAAAACGTCTAAAGTTTCTAAAGAGTCTCTCAAAGTCCAGTCTACTTGGTATTGAAAATCCCATGTGTTATAGAACGGCGGGTCTACTATAAAGAAAACATTTTCCTTGTTTTTATATTTTTCATACAACTCTGTCCAACGACATCTCACAAACTCTATACCCTCAGTATATTTTTCTATGTCCTCTTTGAAAACCTTTGTATAGTTAAGATATAAAACGTTTGACATAAGTGTTTCAATGTCATGAACTCTTATAGAACCACTATACAATAGTCTAGAAGATATACTATCCCAGTCAATATACTCTGCTTTTTTCAAAACCTCTCTGACAGTATTTTTCTTATCTAATGGTATACGTTCCATCTTACCTATAGGTATCTTTTCTTTCAACTCACTCAATATTTTGTTTGTGTCTGGTATATGTTTGAGACGGTTCATATAGTTGTCGAAGTCATTGCATATAATCTTTGAGTTTGGGAATACGGTATGGCACAAATGAGATATATGAAACTTCCACCGAACAAATCTACAAATGTTAGACCATTCGGTAGTTTCTTAAGTTCTCTCAATAGAATATCTTTACATCTACTCTTATTTCCAAAGAAGGGTAGCGGTGGTTTTGTAAAATTCATTTTATATACAATAAAAATGTTTTTTCCCTGAAAAGTGACAGAAAAGTGACAAAACATGAAAACTACTCGGTTAAGGTCTTGTCGGTTTTGTAAAATAACCATCCTATCTCATTCTATAAGGAAGAAAAGGCTTCTCAAAGTATATTTCTTTGAACGCCCGTAACTTTGAGAAGCGACGATAGACCCTTACTTGTCCGGACATAGTTCTACTATTTTGAGTCCTCTACAAACAAGTCAACAGCAACGACTTTCAAAAATTTTTAGGGCTAGAAGGCACGAAGTGCCTGGGAAGCCCGCTATCCCCAAAAAAACCTCATTTTATATAAACTGCATGTTATACTAAACATCTTCAAGGGGGTAGAGGGGCGCAGCCCTGGAACCCCCAATACCTTTTTTTTTTTTCATGATATTAAAAAAAAAAAAAAAAAAAAAGGTATTGGGGCTTCCAGGCACTTCGTGCCCTCTAGCCCCGAAGATGTTTTGTCACTTTTCTGTCACTTTTCAGGGAAAAAACATTTTTATTGTATATAAAATGAATTTTACAAAACCACCGCTACCCTTCTTTGGAAATAAGAGTAGATGTAAAGATATTCTATTGAGAGAACTTAAGAAACTACCGAATGGTCTAACATTTGTAGATTTGTTCGGTGGAAGTTTCTATATATCTCATTTGTGCCATACCGTATTCCCAAACTCAAAGATTATATGCAATGACTTCGACAACTATATGAACCGTCTCAAACATATACCAGACACAAACAAAATATTGAGTGAGTTGAAAGAAAAGATACCTATAGGTAAGATGGAACGTATACCATTAGATAAGAAAAATACTGTCAGAGAGGTTTTGAAAAAAGCAGAGTATATTGACTGGGATAGTATATCTTCTAGACTATTGTATAGTGGTTCTATAAGAGTTCATGACATTGAAACACTTATGTCAAACGTTTTATATCTTAACTATACAAAGGTTTTCAAAGAGGACATAGAAAAATATACTGAGGGTATAGAGTTTGTGAGATGTCGTTGGACAGAGTTGTATGAAAAATATAAAAACAAGGAAAATGTTTTCTTTATAGTAGACCCGCCGTTCTATAACACATGGGATTTTCAATACCAAGTAGACTGGACTTTGAGAGACTCTTTAGAAACTTTAGACGTTTTACATAACCATCCATGCTTTTACTTTACATCCGATAAAAGTGGTTTGGAAACCGTTATGAGATGGTTAGAGGATATACATGAGTATGATTTTAGATACGATAAGATAGAATATGAGAGAGGTCCTATAAACCGGAAAAAGTGTCACAACAAAGAAATTTTATTGGTAAGTAAATGTGGTTTGAAATAGGACTACTTGTTTTAGGTTTTTTCCATTGTGTCATTTACTTATTTGACGTGGCAGAAAGATATAGAGAATATGAAGATGAACCAATGCCAGCAAATGTTCAGTATATGTACTCGTAAGAGATATTTTTATCTAATATTAAATGGACGCACAGAACTTAGCGAATGCACAGCAACCTGGACAACCAAACCCAGAGAATATTCCAAATGAAGTTAGAATACAAACTGCAATGGCAAACTATGGTCAAGTGCCAACAGATGTACAAATGCAAACTGCCATGTCAAATGACGCTGCGTTAGGCTTACCACCATGGTATGCAAATATGAGATGGAAAGAGTTTTATACAAACCCTGAAGTGGGATATAAACAACTCTATGCAGATGACGCGAACACAGGAGTTGACCCAGAGTATGTTTTCTACCAGAGGAGAAATAGAATGTATGAGCTCCAGTTAAAAAATGCTATGGAACTCAGAAGGAAACGTAAGAGACTAGGCGGACATTAGATTTTTACATATAGTAAAATGGGTTTCTTCAGTAGTATTGGAAACTTCTTTCGAAATGTTGGAAGAGGTATATGGAATGGAATAAAATCTGTCGGAAGAGGAGTATGGAACGGAGTCAAAAATATTGGCAAAAGAGTAGGTCAGTTCGTTGGTATTATACCTAAAGACCCTGAACCAGAAGAACAAGCTCCTGTTATACAACAGCCTGAACCTGCACCACAGTCTAGTTGGCAACCAAATCCAACACCTCAACCGTATTAAAAATCATATTTTTACCGTTCGATAGTAGTTGTATATGAGACTAAGTTCTAAGTAAAACGCATGGTATAATGGAACTATTCTCTTTCTTCCATCTGTTGTAAACCATACTTGAAAGTCTGAAATACTTCCACTTGGTGGTTCATATAGCTTTGTAGGTTTTTCGTAAAAGTCATTTGCCAAGCATAAAAAAGAGTTTTGTGCACCAGAAAATGAAGCATGAACTATAATAGCATCTGAGTCGAAAACATTTTCATATGTTCCATTAGGGTTTTCGACTTCATAAAAGTTCGGGTGTACTGGATATTCTGCAGGCTGATTTAACATCCTCAAAAATCTATACCATGCCAAGTTGTTATATTTTGTAGAAATATAAACGTCTTCTCCAAGGTCTTCTATTCTATTGATTTTAACAGTTGCATTTTTCCTGTCATATAAAATATCGAGATGGTACTCTCCTTCGTCAATGTTAAACTGGTTTGCATATTCGAGATAGATATCGTTTATTTTTTCTTGAAAAGCTTGAAGAGTTGTTTCTAAGTTTACAAGCAAACTAACTTGTAAAAGTTTTCCCTGTTCAAATTTCTCATACGTACGTTTTTCTTTGTTATAGTATCGAACTTCAAAACCGACCGTAAATGGGAAACCATGTATGGCTTCTGAAATGAACTTCATTCTACGAAAGCCAACAGCTTTTGTGACGGATGGGTCTCTTAACCATCTTAACGGGTAGTCAAAACGATAGCCTTCATGCTTTACGGTCTCTGTCTCAAACTTTTGACCGACATTCGTAAAAAGTTCATCTAATGGTTTAGTTGTAGCAACTCTTGAATTTTCTTTTTCTATTGAAAGCATATTTTATCTAGAATAAAAATGTCGAAAGAAACAGCGTCTATGAGAGAAATAAAACACAACCGACAACTCATTATACAAGCTCTAAATAAGAACACAACAAACTTTTCAAACTATTCTAAGATATCTGAGTCATTGAAAGAAGGAAACTTAAAACTGACATTAAACCCAATGACAGATGAGTTTCTATTTCAAGACAATAAGAACCATACTGTCTGTGTAAATCCAACAAAAGGAACTTTAAACGAGAAACCTATAGATGAACTTCTTTTGAAAGCAGATGTTGAAAAGAAAGCTGACAAAGAGTATGTCATTGAAAAAGTTCAAGAAGAACATGACAGAGCAGATGCAACATATGCAACAAAAGCAGATGTTGACAACAAAGCTGACAAAGAGTATGTCATTGAAAAAGTTCAAGAAGAACATGACAGAGCAGATGCAACATATGCAACAAAAGAACATACTCATCCTGAACTAGCAGACAAAACATATGTTGACAATAAAATGTCAAGTGAAGTGACAAGAGCTGAAAACGAATATTCTAAAAAGACTCATACACATACCATTGCAAATATTACAAACTTACAAGAAACCTTAAACAGGAAAAGTGACGTTGGACATACACATACCATTGCAAATATTACAAACTTACAAGAAACCTTAAACAGGAAAAGTGACGTTGGACATACACATACCATTGCAAATATTACAAACTTACAAGAAACCTTAAACAGGAAAAGTGACGTTGGACATACACATACCATTGCAAATATTACAAACTTACAAGAAACCTTAAACAGGAAAAGTGACGTTGGACATACACATACCATTGCAAATATTACAAACTTACAAGAAACCTTAAACAGGAAAAGTGACGTTGGACATACACATACATCTTCTGAAATAACAGACTTAAACGTTAGCCTTGAAAATAAAGCAGATAAAACATATGTCAATGAAATATACCAAAGTTTAGTTGGAACAAAAAATATTGAGACTATTGTTGGTGACCTTTCTGTCAATGAAGAAAATAAATATTTTAGATGGCAGTTGGTACAGTCCTTAGAAAATGGTACACGGTATAAACTCATTCCAAAATAACAATGAAATGTATGTAAGCTATAAAAAGAGTGATGGTACACAAGTTAAAGTTCCATTAGACAACAACTGCTACTTAAACATATATGGAGACGAACAAAAGAAATATTTAAGAGTTTATGAAATGGCAGATATGACATTGCCTGACCCAGCTCCAGCACCATATTATTATGACTATGGAGATGACGTTAGAACACCACATGTAGATGAACAAAAGCTAACATTATATTTAGATTTTTATAGATATAAAAGATATAATGCAATAGAAAAAACGAGAATAGTATACTATTATGAAGATGACAGAAATAAATATTATAGTCAAGACTTTACCTACCCTGAAAACATAAGATTATATTATAAAAAATATTCTGACACAAACCAGAAGAAACCTGAAATAGTTGCACTATATTTTAAGTTCAAAAGAGACAATCCTATAATGTCTCATATGTTTGATTTAATGAACCCAGTAGGTTCTATTTATACATCTATGGAAGCAAGAGGTCCTCAAGTAATGTTTGGTGTTGGTGCATGGGAACAAATAGTCGACAGGTTTTTGTATTGTACAAACTCTTCAAAGGAAACAGGTGGAAGTAAAACGATTTCAGGTGCAAATTTACCTGCGCACAGTCACTACATAGATTTAAGTACAACTAACGCAGGTTGGCATAGTCATAGATATTGGGATTGGTCATCAATGACAAAAGGTAAAGGATATGATGTTAAAGACGACGTTAAGTTTGCTATAAATTGTTATTGGAGTGACACGCAGGGAGAAGGAAACCATACACATTTCGTTTCAGGATATACGCAAACAACGGGACAAAGTAAAGACTACATGCCACCTTACATGACAGTTTACGCATGGTATAGAATTGCTTAGTCGTCATTTTCAACTTCTTTAGCATATTCGTCAGGAGTTGTCTTATATTTGTTAGGAACTGTCTTTGAAAGTATACCACCTTGAACTTTGACAAGTTTGAAACGAGGTCTGACAATAGTAGTTTTATCTTCTGCTTGCAGTGTGTACATTTTGCCATGTTTGCCTAAAACTTCATAATATTCTCTTGTATACTTTCTTCTATTTTTACGAACACGAATGTGAGTACCTGTCGGGTTCCCATTGTTGTCATAGTCAATAGTATTTTCATATGGGTCGCGTTTAGGTATTTCTATTTTTACTTTGTCACCTTTCTGAAGTTTGAAGCCCGGCATTCTTTCTTGTTTGTCTCTTTTGACTAAACTATTAAATATATAGTCTTTCTCTAAGTCAGGGTTGTTTTTCATTTCTTCGGGGAGTGGTTTCCCAAACCTTTTTGTTTACGGGTATTGTAAATATTTAAAACTTGTCTCATCTTTGCCATGGAGAAGTGTCTATACTTGTCGTCATATGACATTTCATTTGCTTCACCACCTTGTGGTTGGTTTAAGTCTCTTAAGATTTTTATACAACTGTCAATGACACCAAGAGCAGAATGGTTTTGGTCGACAATGAAATATTGGTTTACATTTTTTGAACGCAGATAGTTTTTAATATCGTCTGATTTGAAAGAACTTTCATAGTCAGATGTCAGTTTTGTTGGATGGTATTTGTCAACGAATATTGTCAAAGCAGTTTTCACATCTAAAATATTTTTGGACCATAATGGTATGGCTTCACAGTATCTTGTGTTTTGACCAACAAATATTAGCCAGTATGGTGGTCCATCTTCTCTATACCTCGGAATGTTTTCCAAGATATCCATAAACCAAGCATTTGGTGTTGAACTAAAGATTTTTACCATGAGTGCTTTCTTTGTTGCTTTAGAAACATACGGGTCCTTGTTTGAATTCGTCATTTTTAACCCATAAGAAATGGGTTTATTTGGCGCATTAGCAGGAGTCGCATCTAGATTTTTACCCGCAGTGGGAACACTAGCCAGAGGTGCATTTGGAATTGGAAGGAAGATTTTGAGTACATTAGGTATACTGAAAGAGAAAGCACAACCTATTATACAAACTGTACAGAAAGGTTGGGATGTAGCACGAGATGCAGCAAATCTTATTCCAAATCCTGAAACAAGAGGAAAAGTTCAAGGATGGATGGACAATGTAGGAAGACAAGCAGGAAACTACTATAACAAAGCAAATGACTACTATAACCAAGCAGGACACTACATGGACCAAGGTGAAAGATTCTTTAACAGAGGATATAACCATGCACAACAGTGGGTAAACAACAACCAACCTCAACCGCCTCAAACGTGGGGAATGTAAAATTTTTTACTGAGATGAAATGAACAATACAGCATTGAGACAAATGGGTTCAAGATGGATTTGTCGGCTTCCAGCAGTTACACCACCACGTGTTTGTCAAGTTCTTCCTATACCTCAGGAAGTTTTAGACCGACTTAAAAAACCTCAACAACCAGTTGAAAACAAACCAAACTAAAATTTTTTACTGAGATGAAATGACCGAAGAAGTTGAAACGGTAGATTTGACACCACAAACAAAAAGTTCAGAACCATTGTCAAAACCTGTCAAAGAACTTACAGATGAAGAGAAAAATTCAATAATAGAAAGTGCCAGGTCTGGAAATACAAACTCTAACTACAAAGTCACTTTTCATAAAAATGGAACGGCTAGTATCTCAAAAAAGAAACAGACTCTCACAAATAAAATATTGAAGTCTGAAGGAGCTTTCGAGACAACAGATGGAAAAGTTTACATCACTGACCAACAGTTCATTATAGAACATCTCATTGACTTAGAGTCGAAATATTCTAAACTTTACAACAAACACAAAAAGTTGAAAGGAAAACAAAAACAAATGGCATATGACATTTATGAAGATGTTGACGACACAACTGTTCCTGCAAGTGAAGTAAAGTCAGAGGAACCGAAAAGTGACGAAAAACCAATAGAAGAAGGGAAGCCAAAAACTGAAGATAAACCAAAACCAAAGTTTAGTTTGGAGACTAAACCAAGTCAACCTTCATTAGCTGGTATGGGTTGGCGTCAAAGACTTATGGCAGCAAGTGCTTATGTAAAGTAAAGAAAAAAACATTTTTTTATTTTATTTGAAATGTACGCTGAGTTTGTTGGAGAAGACCGTTGGGAAACTTGTTTGTTAGATGAGAAATATGAAATTCACTGTTGTGAGTCATTTGAAGTCAGAAACAAAAAGACAAAAAGAGTTTTAAGCGAATGGGAGCGAAATGACGGATATACTATTGTGAATATGAGTGGAAAAAACTATCTTAAACATGTTGTCATTGCAACTCATTTTATACTGAATCCTAACAATTTACCTTTTGTAGACCATATAAACCGTATAAGAAACGACAATAGACTTGAAAACTTGCGTTGGGTCACTCGTTCTGAAAACAGTAAGAACAAAGGCAAAATTGGAGATATTGTATTCGAATTTGTCGACGAACTAGAAGATGAAACAATTGAAATTACAGACTATGGTAAGCATACGTTTGAGTTTTACTACTATAGCGAAGAACAAGACTCTTTCTACTTTTATACCGGCGTAAACTATAGGAAATTACAAGTATATTTTACTAAGGATGGCTATGCTTATGTAAACACTAGAGATACAGATGGAAAAAGCGTTCATATATTTCTTAACAAATTCAAGAAGCTATATGGCATACCATTTTAAAACATTTTTAAAACAGTATATTTTTACATATATTAAATGCTTCAGGTTGAAAAACAAAGAACAAAAGTAGCAGATACAAAACCGTTAGACTATATCTTTACAAACGCTGGTAGAAATATTTCAGATGAAGAAATTTCATCCCGTACATACAGGTTTGACTATCCAATTCGTTGGCTTCAAAGTCCTTCAGATGCAAAGGCAATAGGATTTAGAAGAGTTTTGTTTTCAAATAGAACTAATGCATTCATGTTCGCAGTATATTTTCACGGTCAGTATAAAGGTTCTGATGGTCTAATAGAAAAATTTGACGAAATGAAAATCTTTACAATTCGTTCAGACGAAAGTCTTGAAAAAACTCTAAATGACTTTCAAACTCAAATAAACAAATACTACTGGGAATTTCAAGAAAAATACCACTCTTTACTAAATGGAACATACTATCTGAAGCTAGAATACGACAAGATGAACTCCACAGTTTCATTTCAAAAGATTGAAATTAACCCTCCAAGAGATACAGAGTTTTTATATTGGGGAGTAGACAAACGTTCTTGGGCACAATTTCTTCGGTTACTAAACCAGAACGAACCATTGCCACCAGATGGTCCATTTAAATTTATACTCCCACCAGCAGATTTGACAGTTTATAGAAACGTGTTCGACCCTCAAAATGTCATGTGTCATGCAAGTTTCAGTTCAAGCAACAACAGTTTTCTGTGTATCGGTAAGGACTTTTATGACTTTGCTTCTAAATTCTACGAACCACCTAGTAACAGTTTCTCTGACTTTCAAGTTTGGTTCACAACAAACGGTGTGCAGCATATAATACCATTGTACTATGACTTTTATCTCGAATTGTCTTTCATATACAACTACGGAAAAGTGCTGAAAAAGTATTGAAAAATATATTTTAGGTGAAGTGGTGAGATCTCACCTCTTTTCTCACCTCTTTTTTCACCTCTTGAATTTTCATGAATTTCCTTAAGACAGAAAAAAGTTAGTTAAAATGAGATGTTTACTGAACTGGTTGGATGTCGCCTTCACAGGTTATGTAGAACAGCTGACCCGAGAAGTGGAACAGTGCTCTGAGAATTTGTATAATTCGTGGAATTGGACTCTCTCTGTTTGGAAGTTGTATCCATGGGCGCTTTGCAAAGAACTTGAGAAGAGCTTCTTTCTTCATCTCCTTTATGTCGTCTACAGGAGTGTTTTCTGGTATTTGAATTGGAATTCCAGTCGAAATCTCGATTTTCAGCGCACCTCTTCCAGACAACCAGACGCCGAGGGACTTGTTGGCTTTGTCCTTGCCCAAGTACTGCTTAACAACTTCATTTATCTCTATAAGGTAAATTGCCTCATCTAATGGCTCGATGTTGTCCATTGCACTGCTTCAGAACTAGTCTTGTACTTTTTCAGAACAATACTTGTACTGTTTCAGAACTAGTCTTGTACTTTTTCAGAACAATACTTGTACTGTTTCAGAACAATACTTGTACTTTTTCAGAACAAGACTTGAACTTTTTCAGAACAAATTTCCCGTAAAAGCTCTCAATTTGTGAGAAAAATTTTCTGTTTCAGAACAATATTTGTACTGTTTCAGAACAAGTCTTGTACTGTTTCAGAACAATATTTGTACTGTTTCAGAACAAGACTTGTACTGTTTCAAGACAATACTTGTACTGTTTCAAGACAATATTTGTACTGTTTCAAGACAATACTTGTACTGTTTCAAGACAATATTTGTACTGTTTCAAGACAATGTCCGACGTCCCACCAACCGAGTCCATTCCCAAACCAGTTCACGAACAAATCTAATGGCGAAACATTCACAAAAGGCACTTACAACGGTATTGAAGTCTTACGTAGAGACAAGGATGGTTATATAAATGTAACAAAGATATGTCAGCAGTTTAGGAAGGACTTTAGAAAGTTGTTGGAAAATAAGTCCTGGGAAGAGTATTTTAAGGCATTTTGTGAAGAATATACCACCCGTCGGAATTCCGGCGGTTGCTTTTTATACAAAGTTCATGCAGGAATTCCGGATGAAATCAAACAGGTTAGAGGAACGTATGTAGACCCAAGACTCGTAAACTATATAGCAATGTGGGCTTCTCCAAAATATTGCATAGCAGTTGGAAAAATTCTGGACTCCATAGACAAGAAAGTTCATGAGAAATTAGATGAAGAAGAACTTGAAGATACAGTAGAGAATGCAAAACCTTTGTTCGAACAAGAAGTTAGAAAAATGCATGAAAAACAAATAGAACATGAACGTGAGATATGTTCTGGTTATAGAGACTCTCCATACGAACTAGACCAATGGGAACAAGAAGATTTAAAGAGAGAATTTAGAGAATATGAACTCGCTAAAGTTTCATTAGAAGCTGCAGAAGAGAGGTTAAAAGTTTGGGGTCGTTTTGTACAAAAATATTGTGAGTAAATGAACCATTTTATTTTTATTGAATTCGGCAAAAATATATTTTAGGGTAGATGGTTTTTAGGTGTCACTACGTCACCAGGTAATTTAAACTTCTCTGAAAAAGTGTGACAACATGACATTTTGACAACAACACAGGAAATAAACTTCATCGTCAATGTTTTGTATAAAAAGCAACCCGCGGAAAACAGCGGGTTGGTATATTCTTCACGAAATGCTTGTTTGTCAAGACTTTCATCGTACATGTTTTGTATAAAAAGCACCCGCCGGAATTCCGGCAGGTGGTATATTCTTCACGAAATGCTTGTTTTGTTGAGACTTCTTCGTATATGTTTTGTATAAAAAAGCACCCGCCGGAATTCCGGCGGTTGGTATATTCTTCACAAAATGCTTGTTTTGAGGTCGAGCCACTTTTGGCTCCACCGTAGAAAACACACAAAACTCTTGAATTCGGCAAAAATATATTTTAGGTGGAACCAGGTCCCTCGGTCCCCAGGTCCCTCGGTCAACTAACATCTTTTTGAAAATGGTGACAACATGACATTTTGACAACAACACAGGAAATAAACTTCTTCGTAAATGTTTTGTATAAAAAGCACCCGCCGGAATTCCGGCAGGTGGTATATTCTTCACGAAATGCTTGTTTTGTTGAGACTTCTTCGTATATGTTTTGTATAAAAAGCACCCGCCGGAATTCCGGCGGTTGGTATATTCTTCACGAAATGCTTGTTTTGAGGTCGAGCCACTTTTGGCTCCACCTGTTTTTTCAACCAAAACTCATTTTACTCAGCAAAATATATTTTATGAGTAGTGGTGAGATCTCACCTCTTTTTTCACCTCTTTTCTCACCCGTTGAATTTTCATGAATTTTGACACTTTCACAAAAAACATAAAAAAGTTAGTTTTTTTAAAAAAAATATTTTTTATTTTTATTGTAAGAACATGTTAGCAACAACAGCACCAAACTCGTTAGTCATGAACCCAACTTCAATGTTAGTAGAGATGAAAAGCTTCATTCCTTCTTCATATACTTTCGAAACAGAAATCCAGAAGATAAAGCAAGAACTTCTCCAAGGAGATTTAGACTGTAGTGCAAAAGATGAAACAAATGAAGAATATCTTTATGAAATGCAGGATATTATTGACCATCTACCTAAACTTCCTGAAATACAACAACAAAAGCTTACTATTCCAGAATTCGATGAAATAGAAGTCAAAGCAACTGACTTAGTAGAAACCAAGAAGTTCATACGTAAGGTAAACTATGAGTTTCTTGGATTTCATTGCAACCACAAAGTCATGGACAAAGATTGCGATATGTTATATAAGAACATCTCTGACATATACAAATCTGAAGAATTTAAGACCTACGACAACTTTGTTTCGTTAGTTGCAAAATGTGTATGGCAGATAAGAGATAAAGATAGAAGAGGTAAAGTATGGAACGAACAGATAAAACCAGCAACTTTTGAGTTAAAGAAAACCATTGACGCCTTAGTTGTTTTAGCAGGTTTTATTTCAATGTACAATGCTAAAATGAACCCACAATGTTCAAAATGTAAAGCAGCAATGAGGAAATATAACTACTCCGTCAAAGAGATAGAAAGAATGCGAAACGACTATGCAGATTTAAAGAAAGAAGCAGAGAAACCAGCAGAAGATAAAATGGACATGTTGACATTTCTGAAAAAAACTATCCAACAGCTGACGATTTCCTTCTATCTGATGTCAAGAAGAAATATAAAGAAACCTTCGGCATTGTGAAAACTTTTGACATACTGACAGAAGAAATAGAAGCTACAAAACTGTTTAGGATTTCAAATATACATCGTACAATTCATGTAAAACGCTTGTGAAAAAGAGGTGAGAAAAGAGGTGAGAAAACAGGTGAGATCTCACCTCTTCACCTAAAATATATTTTTGCTGAGTAAAATGACCAAATTTCATGAATTTCCTCATATGTTTGCTACCCTCGGAAAACCGAATGAACTACCAGCAATGTTATGACAGTAAACGGCTGACAAGAACATACACATAAATCCTTCACTTACTGTTAGAGCAGACGACATATATTTGAACTATACCCTGGTTCAAGTGCAACTTTAGAGAATCCGAGTACAAGCGTAAAAGATAGCACTAAACATTTACATAACAGATGTATAACATTGAAGGTCATGCCAGAAACTTTGAAAACACATGAACTACCAGCAATGTTAGATAAGAAAGAGCAGACAACAACAGAGCTTCAAACATTAAAGACTGAAATACTTCAAACACATTATATCCCGTTGGTTCTTTATATACGTCAATGAATTCAACAATATCCAGCACCAGTTTTAGGTTTGGTACGTGAAGCAGATTGTAGATATAATTCTTATACTGTGCTAACTCTTCAAAGGCAACGGGAGGTTCGGACGAAGAAAATTAAAGAAGCAAACCTTCCACCGCACACTCATACGGGAACTACAAACTTTTCTGGCGACCATAGATGCACCCATTAAGAGACCACCATTATACAACTCGGAGTATGAAGCTGGCCATGACGTTTTATCTCCATTTATAACAATTCAGCAAAAAAGATTTTCGACAACTGAACCAGGAGGAAATCATTCATACACTTTCACAAAACACAAATCCAACAGGCTCCGGTTGCAGAATTATATGCCAACCATTTGTGACTGTATTTGCATGGTACGACCAGCGTTCAATGAACGCGCTTGAGCCTTGAATAGAAATCTTAACTTTACATAAATGAGCTTGAAAGAAGTATTCGAACAAATCATAGGAGGTCATGTTAAGAAGTTCAATGAAGCAACAAAAGTTGGGGATTTTACTAAACAGAGCTGAAGTGAAAAGGGTTCTTGACAAAAATGTTGTACATCAAAAACAAAAATAAAACCCTTACGACTTACTTTTTACCAATTTACTCCAACACTCCTGACGCATACCAATTTGACACTCTCAATTCAAAGCAGAAAAGGAGGACATAAACCATTCCTTCATCTCATTAATGTTAACACTACGCAAAGCATATGATGCATATCCAATGAGGAAACAAAGGAACTCGTGAAGTGTTAAGAGTTTTACAAAAGTTTTGTAAGCGAGACTAGCAAGTACTTATACATCAGACAAAGGACCAGTGCATACCTCAGCAATGAATCACAGATTTTCTCATTAAGCATAAGCATAACTCACTACATACACTGAAACCATAGCAAAACAATCTCGCAATCATAAACCGCTTCATAAGAACGCTCAGAGATTTAAACCAAGAGCGGACTTTACCGAAGAAACAATGAAACATTTTCTCGAAGTATAATAATCTCCTCAACACATTCATACAACAGGACATACAGCCAATTCAATGACACAACAACAAGAAGAAAAGTATATACAAAGAACGAAAGCCAAACACAAAAAATATCAGAAATTCAACACAATTTACCCTCATTCCTGGTACAAAAGTTCGTGTAGTTCTTGACGAACAAACCGTTGACCAAAGAAACGTTTAAGGTTTAAGAGAAATAACTATTATCTCGTGAGACTCTAAACGCAAAGGTAATGTAATCAGTTAATAAAAGCTCTGCCGAGCGACTGTAAGCATTGAGTTTTACACTTCGACATAAATTAGTTCGAGAAAGTAGTAATGGCAAACTTGCTGAAACATGAGAAGCAAAAGCGAGAGTGGTTCATTAAATACGTGGCTATCATACATAAACGATGACACTTATAAAAGTAAGATATGAAGGAGGCCGTTGAAATGTTAATACATCTAAGAACTTGAGAGAGTCAAAGCCACAAACATCTGGGACGCATTAGGCGGCAGAGTACTGGAAAGACAAAAATAAGCCAGAAAGAATAAGAAAATTCTTCTAAACTTTTTCATTAGATGTAAATCAGACAAAATAATTTTTTAGGTGAAATCTCACCTCTTTTTTCACCTGCTGTTTCTCACCCTCACGAATTTTCATGAATTTCCTTAAGATAGAAAAAATAAAGTTAGTTTTATTTTTATTATTTTTTATTTTTGATAAAAGAATGATTTCAACATTCGGCACAACAACAATTCAAACAACTCAGCCACAAACTCCTGCTAGTCATAATAATCACTCATATGTTGGTAAGAAATGAAAAGCTTTATTCCTTCCTTCTTCCTTCATATACTTTTTGAAACGAGAAATCCAGAAGAGTAAAGCAAGAACTTTTAACAAGTGAATTATAAGACTGTTAGTGGCGAAGATGAAACAAATGAACAGTATCTTTATGAAAATGGAGGACCTACATCGACCATTTGCCTAATACCTGAAATTCAGCACGCAAAAACTACTATTCTGAATCGAAGAATTGAAGTCAAAGCACATGACTCAGTAGAAATTAAGAAATTCATACGTAAAGTAAATTATGAATTCCTTGGTTTTCATTGCAAATAAGTTATGGACAAAGATTGGCGGACTGTTTTAATAAATATTCTGACCTTTACAATCGAAGAATTTAAGACATACGATAACTTTGTTTCTTAGTTGCAAAATGTGTATGGCAGATAAGAAGATAAAGATAGAAAGGTAAGGTATGGAATGAACAGAATAAAACCAGCAGCGCTTTTGAGTTAAAGAAAACCATTGACGCGCCTTAGTTGTTCTGCTGGTTATTTCAATGTATAACGTCAAAACGAGCCGGCAATGTTCAAAATGTAAAGCAGCATAAGAAAATATAACTATCAGTCAAGAGATAGAAAGAATGCGAAACGAGACTAATGCAGACTTAAAGAAGAAGCAGAAAACAGCCAGAGAAGATAAAATGGATATGTTGACATTTCTTAATAAAACTATCCAACAGCAGAAGATTTCCTTCTGTCTGACGTCAGAAGAATATAAAAGAAACCTTCGGCATTGTTAAAACTTTTGATGATCTAAAGAAAAATAGAAGCTACGAAATTGTTTAGGATTTCAAATATACATCGTACAATTCATGTAAAACGCTTATGAAAAAAGAGGTGAAAAAACAGGTGAAAAAACAGGTGAGATCTCACCTCTTCACCTCAATAATAGCTATTTTTGGTGAATTTCAGACAAAAAATAATGAATTTTTATTTTAGTTATTTTGTATGTAAAGAACAGTAATGACAAACATTGAGTTTGAAACAGTTAGAAAGATTGACAATGACGACCCAAGTGGTTAGAATTGGTGATTGAACGGTAAGATACTGTAAGAAATACAAACAAATATTCTTTGTCAGACATTATATCTCCATCTGGAAAGAAACAAAACGACTGGGTTAGAATCTTCAATCAAGAAAATTTTGACAAGAAATCCTGAGCGTATGATATCAGTAGCATTTCATTGGAACAAGAGCATATCTTATAGACAAAAGTCTTATACGCATAGTTTTGTTATGGTTGACCCAGTTGTTGGATTATAATTCATACATATGGATTCATTCGATCAGACGTCAGTGAAGGCTTACTTTATATCGTTCAGAAACCGAAGGACTTCAACACAAAAGATATAAGATAGGAAGGACAATAATTATAACTCAAAGATATGCACAGTAAGTCATAAGAGTCAAGTTGTGTTTTGTAATGATATGAGAGCTGCTGAAACAGAACTACTTGAAAAGTTTGAGAAAAATGTATGCGTGGCTCCACGAAAGGTAAAGAAACGTTTGGAAGTAGATGAGATAGATAAAGCTATAAAATTATTTGATTCGAAGTTGCTGAAAAATACATGTAAAGCGTTTTTTTTTTGGTCTTTTGTGAAAGTCAGAAAAAAATAAGTTAGTTTTATTTTATTTATTTTGTATGTAAAGACAGTAATGACAACATCAGAGAACACAACAACAGTTATAGTCCATGAAGCTATAAATGAAGAATACGAATACATACTAGTATAAAACAGTTACGTTCATTCGTTCAAGATGACATGTACCAAATGCAAAGTATAATGATGCTCTTCGTTCTACAAAGCAAGCATATCATTGGTTTGAAACCGGAACAGACAAAAGAAATTTGTAGAGAAATTTCCTCATATGGATGCTTCCCTCGAAAAAACCGAGAGAAGAGATTCCGTACGAAAATCGCAAGAATTTGGCTCCTGTTTGAAAGGTTATTAATGTTCATAGACTTTTAGTAACGCGTGTAAGCAATTATGGGCTTCACCTCGTTATGCTATGTTATAGTTTTTCATATGTTAGAGTGGACTATGTAAGCACAGACGGTGGAGAGATTGGAAAAGAAACCTTCAAGCAAAAGATGAAGTCCTTGAAATCCAAAGTACAACAGAGCATACAGAAAAAATACACGCGTTCGGATATAAAAAGGAAAGGAAAAGAGTTATAAGTATATGATATATACTGAAAGAGGTTGGAGAAAGAAGAAGATAAAAGATGTGGTTATGTTGCATTTAGTCAGAAGAAACAACAAGAAGCTTTATGACTTAGCTAAAATAGTATAAATCTGAGC